AAAGTTAGAGTTGTAAAAATTAAATCACAAGAAGAGTTAGTTAAATAACTTATTAATAAATTATGCCCGCTGGGCTAACTAAAAAATGACTACATAGACACAGACCAAAGAATCACGAAAGAAACTAGCAGAGGGTGGTAAGAATCAAGACTAGATGGTTATACTAAAGTTAGCATTACTCTGCCAAGTATCCAGTGCAAAGGTAAATAAAATCGACAAGATAACGATTTCAAAATTAAGTAACAATTCTGCAATTTTTGTAGACCCAAAAACATGATATAGATATAGATAACATGATAGAACTACTAAAAGAGACGTATTATGTGTATAAGGAATAAATCATGATAACGAATTAGCCAAATGCCTTGATTCAAGAATGCGACAAGATTCAAATTGAGGTAAAAAGTATGCTAATTGATTTCAATCATTTCGACACATATATTTTGCCAATATCACATGTAGGGGTATCCAAAGGCGTAGCTTAAATAGTCGTCCCAGCAATGTGATTCAATGGAGCATCGATAAGTTTGTAGACACCAAATAACTATTCATTAGTAAGCCTTTGTCTATTTCTGCAGTAATGTTAGAACGATGAGACAACTACCAACTTTTTCTTTATATGCTGTAAAAATATGAGCAGGAATCTAATCAACATCTAAGCACAGCCCGACCAGAGATACATCAGCTTTTTAGGACAAATATCGTTCTGATCTAATAGAAAAAGTCTTTTATCAATACTTTTTTTTTGAATATTAAGTGCAACTCTGTAGTTAGTTATTTTACCCCTAACAAACTGATGGTCTCCAAATCAACACCACTTCAACTGGATTGGATCTTGAACTTCTCAATAGAATTGAGATCACAGTCCTTCTTAATAACTGTTGTACACATTGAATCACCATACATACATTCCCGTACATTTTTATAACGCCAACTGCAGCAAAGCTAATTGATTTATAATAACGATTGATTTAGAATTACTTGGACCTGAATTGTGAGTCAAGCTAATTTAGATTTTACCGACTGTCAATTTCTTTACCTTCATAGCAGTACTTCGATCAGTACTGTGTTCTAGAAGCGACGGGATGAAGACAAATTAGACTTCTAGCTTCGCAGCAAATGTTCGAACCTATGACTATTAGCTGTGACCAAATAATAATAATAAACGTGTAATAATTGGATTATAGAGAAAACGAATGGACGCATTTTTAAGTCACTGCATTAACGATGCAAGTGTTATAAATAGAGCATAATAAAGTGACACATTTTTCGAAGCGAAAAGGGGCCCTTGTAATTGTGTGGTAAATGCGCTTTCAAATATTGACCTCCAACATATAATAACTATAATTCACCATTCAATGGGTGTCAGACTTTGTATGTTGATTTGAGACATAGGCGAATGCGGAGACGAAATTTTCATATTGTATTGGATTCACATATCCTTCATATATTGACCCTATTTCCTACTGAACTTAAATTTTAAGAAGTTGGGGAACAAAAACCAAAATTGTATAAGATATACCAAAGACTTAATACAAAATTTGGAGGGCTTAGCTCATAAGACGTACGATATATAATTTAATAACTGAATTTCGATTATATTCTTAATCGATAATAATAATATGGGAATAGTTATCGTGCTATACACGGACCTACAAAAAAAATTGCATCGACGCGATCACACATATGGACCCACGGACAGACAGATAGACGGACAGGGCTCAATCGACTCGGCTTGTAGTCAAGAATATATATACTTTATGTGGTCTCCCACGCCTCCTTCTGCTTATTACATACATTTGCACAAAACCACTATACCCTGATTTCCCATTTTTAATGGGATCAGGGTATAAGAAGGGAACAACCGGGCTTGCATAATTAGTTTTTTTACAACCTTATTCTTTAACGAACTGAAAGAGTACATTAGTTTTGTGCACTGTCCTGATCACAAGCCATATCGCTGCTATTGAAGGTAGAGTCTTGAAATCTGTAATATATATGGTATACATATATTCCCTACTAACGGTGGTATATCGGAACTGACTATATAGTGTTTTGAACAAATTATGCATTATTTTGAACACTATTATTGCAAAAAATATTCCATATTTCCAGAAAATTTGGGAGATAGAGAACAAAAGATAAAGAAATTTATAAATTTGGTTTTGAGTTATTGATGACCTCTATTACAAAAAATTTGACAGTTTCGCTACTGTAAAATCCATCAAAGGATTGGTCAAAAATGTTACAATTGACTAATGAACAACTGTAAATTCTACAGTTTTATAAATAAAAACTAAAAATTGAACTAAATTACTGTTGACTTACTCTTTTTATCTACCTAAATTTATACTTCTTAAGGGCATGGAAAATTTGAAAACCTCAAATAATGCAAAGCTTTGGAGCTGACGGCGTACAGACGATGTATGAGTATTATTCATTCGGTAGCGGTCTACTGTAACGGTCTTATTTTGTTATTCTGCCTTAAATCTATTAAAAATGAGATGGGTGTAATGTTTTTATGAAAATGCATGCAACAGGCAGAAGGAACCGTGGTTGGTCTTAACCAGGACTACGGTTGAATCCATTTAGCTATGTTTGTCCGTCCGTGTATTTATCCGTCCGTGTGAACGCAATGATCATATAAGCCGCAAAAGATCCAGATGGTAAAATTTAAATGTGTATTCGAATGGTAATCAAAATCGATAATTTGACATTGTTTTTTAAACGTAGCTTAAATACCATAAAAGATGGAATCATCATATATATAAAGATCATTTTTATGCTGGGACAACTTAATTACGAACGCCCATCATGAAGAAACATTTTCCACAATAAATTTCCCATAACATAGCCTATACAGCAGCTTATGCTGCCATAGCGTTAGCATGTGTTATTATAGTGAATGTGTTGCTTGCTTGCTAGATATGATTGGAGTATTAGCAGGATTCAGGGTATCTGACAGTCGACAATTCTCGACTAGTACACTCTTACTTGTTATTAACTGGTCATTAAAGAAAAGAAAAAGAAAACGTATTCAATAAGCTTGCAGTATTTTATTATAAGATACCCTGTACACACTTTATATAAATAAATTATGGTGAAAACAGTAAGATTTGTTTTTATGAATGTTCATTTTTATACTGAACATAAAACATATAAAATTATAAAAATTTATTACTCATGTTAAATAATTTGACATTTGTTTTTTATACTCAAAATATTATTTCTTGAAAGGAGTATGTGATAGTCGATAGCCGAACATACAGCAAATCTCTACTTTCTCCAAAAATAATCCAAGCCATACAAACATACATGTATAAATATAACAGCATAAATATATATATATATATAAACATTTTTTAAGTTTTGTAAGCTCTCCTATATTAACTATTATATCTGTCGTGATCATTTGTTGGTAAAATTAAGTTACCCCAAAAATAAAATAATGTCAGTCTTCTCATCATTAATTATTTCACATATTTGGTTTGGTGTTGCTTTATTTGGAGTGCAGGCAATAAAGTCCACATTTCTTGACTACTTCGAACCGTCTTTATTACCATTTATTGAACAGCAATCAATTCCTAAAATTGTAAATCATCAACAAAACTATAAAGAGAACGAATTTGGAAACGAATTCCAAGGAGAGCAGGTGAAGGAACACATGGAGACTGGTATATTCAATGGAGTGAGCGAAGCATTCAACACACCACAGTTCAAAAAAACCTTTTCGCATGTTCCACTTATATCTATGAAGTATCCTAACTTTCATGACTCTATCGAAGATGATGGTTCAACCACTTCAAAATCAATACATGTTAATATGGAACATTTGCATATTCATCATCATTACATAAATTTAAAACGGTATACAGATACATTAAAAACGCACCGTGTGCAATTCGGAGAGTCACCAGCAGACTCAAGGCATCAATCTGGAACTGAAACTATTAAGCCCATAATTTCGTTATCACAATCAATGAACAATATGCTCAATAGTAGTAAGAGCTTCGATCCAATTAAAAGCGTCCAGCAGTCACCGGCCATTCATGAAGATACATCAGATAAACAAATAGAAAGTCAAATAGATCGGGATCCTGTAGTAGATCAACCAGAAATTGTAATAAAAGTTGAGCAAGGAACTACAACAATCTCACCAAACGACGTAAAAAAAGTGCATATTTTAAGCATTACTAAAACTGGTCATAGTGAAAAGGTTACTTCCGAAGTAAGCCCTCCAGACACCGAATATACTGCATACGGCGTACCACTGAATTAAAAATGATTTAAAACCGTTTATGTATTTTATTTTTGTATTCATTAATAAAAGAAGTCAGATTTTATTAATTTTATGTTTACTTAGTTCTGACAATTTCTTAGATGAGATTGATTGAATAAGAATTTTATTTTTACCGATAAATAGACAACTAGAAGTACTCTAATCGAGAGCGTTTGACTATAATATAATCTACATCAACACATACACGTACTGTGAATTTTACATGAGTTGTCTTTGGTTTGCCTATGGAAAATGAATAATTGAATACCTTCAGTTCTAAATTTGTAATCTTAATTAAATTGTAGAGCAATAATATTAAATTGTGTGTATTTGCCAAGGCCCACATCTTAACTATTTGCCAAAGATTTATTCATAATTTTGAATGAGTTTAATAGTATTTATGTAATTTTTTAAAACAAATCGACAATCTATATTTTTTGGATCGTTCGAACGCACGAAGTACGTACGTACAAATGGATATATAGAAATGGGAGATCATTTAAATATAACCTCTATAGACCGATTGTCTCTAGTAGATAATTTATTCTTGCTAAAGTTTTTGTTTGGCATATTTTTCATGCGGTTAAAAATCCAACAAATTAAAATAAGAAATTTAATCATAATGAATTTTGAAAAAATCTCATTGCAATTTTTAACTCATTTAAATTGACCAGCTGATAAGTCTAGTTTGAAATTTCATTATAGATCGACTAACCCAAAAAGAATGCTTTCAAAATTTTGAAATTTATCATAAATAAAAGGAACTGACGCATTTCGAGTGTGGATAATCCTCAAGCTTTCGTCGAAACACCATTACATGTACAGAAAAATTTTTTGTGAGCTTTATGGGCTGATGGACTCATTGCTCCATATGTCTTTATAAACGATGATGGTTGATTATGATGATTGGAAATATTCACAAAGGCAGTTGCAGATTGCGTCTTGTAAGCGCTAGCCTAGAAGATTACATGACAAAATACATTTCTTTATATAATATTAACTCTAAAAGAAAATATTAATAGTTGATCTGTTAAAAATTAACTTGAAATAAATATTTTTAATTATCATCAAAGTTATCGTCATTCTTTTCCATTGGATTGAATTCTCATCTCTTTCTGTTGTTTTGTGAGAGTAGTGAAAGCGGATTCCAATAAGTTCGTCATATTTTTATTATCATCTTTAAATGGCACTCCCATTAACGGATTTGTAGAAGTGGCAGTATAGCCCGTTTTCGTGGGATAGTTTCCTTTAAATTGATGTGAACATACAGGTTTCATATCATTCTAAGAAATGTATAGAAAAACAAACATAATATTTTATAAGACTTTATTGACTATAATAATAAAAATGGATACCATATCGATTACAAAAGTTTGAATTTTGTAATTAATTAATTTTGTAAATGAATGATAGTGAAATTAAAAACAAACCCGAGAGAAATATAAAAACAGACCCGACCACTAATTGTTGAATAAGTTTTGTTGTAAATGGACTCTCTTAATAATTTTTGGAGCGATATAATTATACTCGTACATATGTACACGCCAAAGATTGCATTTTGTGTCTAGTATTTGAAATTAATTTTTTGCAAGTCTATGGGGGAAATATAAAAAATTCGAAATATACAAAGTCTGTTCATTCATTATTACAAGATCTTCCATAGCAAATTAAATGTTTAGATTTGTCATTATATTCAAGCAACGCTTCAAAAGCGAAATCAATTTATCGATATCAATACATGTCATATTTTGATATAAATCTCATCAATTGATTTAATTTGTGTTTGTGTTTCAGTAATGTACTTACTTCATTTGAATAACTTTCAAAACCGCGTTCTGGATTACAAATCCACTCTTCACTTGCAACAATGAGATCTTCTTTTCTTGGTGCAAAACATTTACAACAACAAAAAACTGTAACAAAAAATATTATTTCTATTATTTTATTATTTTTTTACTTATTTATTTCAATTTCTATTTTTTAATTTAATTAAATTTTTTTTCAATATAACTGTTTAAATTTATATTTCACAAAGAGCTAAAACGTAGTCAATTTTGAAAAAATTGGGAAATAAATAAATAATAATCTGTACCAGAATGACGAAATTTCTTAAAAATTTAACTAACTTTTTATGGTCGTCAAAATCTGTCATTAAATAAGAAAACTCTATTCGAGAGCACTAATATCCCAACTTTGCTACTTAAATGAAGCAGGCATTTGTCAAAAAACTCTTTACACACTGAAAAAAAAAATATTTTTGGTTTTATATGCAGAATTAATGACCTTTTATTCAAATTATTCACATTTTGTAATGCTTTTTTTTTTAGTAATAAGTTTCGAGTAAACATTTACAAAACAGAGTACAAAACTATAAATGTGTAACAATATTATAAACAAAAACTAAAAAAACAAAAAAAAAAAAAAAAAAACCAAAATAGATACCAAAAACTGAAATTACTCTTTTATACCCGTATCCTATCGAAAATGGGAAAATGGTTTTGTACAAATGAATGCAACAGGCAGAAATAAGCGTAACGACCCCATAAAGCATATAGTCTTAATCAGGACGACAAGCCAAGTCGCTTGAGTTGTGTCCGTCTGGCTGTCTGTCTGTATGTGTGAACGCGTCGATCTCTGCATTTATAAGAGCTAGAGAATTGATTTTTTTAGGTCATAATTTGATAGCTACTCCCGTTTTATTGTTATCGATTAAAAATGATCAGAATTCAGTTATTAAATTATACGGTTTATTCTTTATTCTTTAATTATGAAGTGGCGGTGTTGGTAGAGTTGATGCACGTTGCGTAGACAACGTTGGTTCGAATCTTGATGTCTAATGTTGAGTTTTATTTGTTTATATTTTTTTAAAATAATTATATTGGGTATCTCCAAATCGGACACCTCGACTAGAGATTTCTAAATGTTATTTAACAATTCCTGCCTTTCGTTTGTGTTGATTATTAAACCAAATCGAGTTAATAAGATTTACCAATTAATTTTTAAATGCTTACCGAACACTATTAATATCAATAAACCGATTCCAAAAAGTTGGCAAAGAGTCCAAAATGTCCTATTTATCTGGAAATCTCTGTTCTCATTTATTGCTTCCGTTAAGCAATAGTCATTTAATTCTTTTTTTTGTGGGCAGTTCAAAAGTAGGCCAGCATTTTTTTCTGCCTCATAATTCATCTTATGGCAAATACTAATATCTATCTGAGTTTCTATATTTCCAATACAGTGGCAAAGACAATTCCACACACAAAAACATCTCGAATGAGTTTCTATTTTAAATGATCTCTTAGATATTATATTTAAGTTTGAATGCAACGTAGTTGATCTATTAAATGTATTCAATATGTTAGCTTTTACAATTACTAAAACAAAACATAAAGTTACATTTAATTAATAAAAGAGTGTAAAGGTTAACGGCGTATTTTACTTACTTTCACAATCAAATTTTAATTTTTTCTTCGATCCCATTATGAAAGGTAATAAAAACGTAATAGTTTCTGATATATAAGGAAGCAGAATTTTGTTTACAGTTGTTATAACGGATTCAGTTTTTGACAGCGGGCAATTGGAAATACTTATGAAATATTCTTGTGACTTTAGACCTTTATTTATAACTTCAACAGATATTTGAAGTGCATCCTTAGTCGTAGCATCAGTTACAATTCTGGATACTTTAACTTTTCGAGTATTTTTTTTAACTGCGTTTTCTCTAAATGGCAGTTTAATTTTAATGTTGAACGCTGTAATAAATATACAATGTTATATGTTTTTTGATATATACAAAGTTTTTTCTGTTAAAAGGAAATGGACCCCACTAGAGTCTGTTCTTTCCAATTAAATACCGACAGATAACCACTACAGAAAATAATGCAAACACATTTGCATCATTCCTACGCTATGTTAAAATAGCAATCAAATGATAATTGGTAAAATATCTTAATGGGTCTTTATATATTTGATTAAGCCTGAAAAGATCGGAATTACATTCAAGACAAGTGACAGTATTGTGTGCAATTTTATCAATCGTTCTTGAGACGCTTTCCTTTTCGGATAAAATTGATACCTTAATATCAAGAGAAAACGGTCTTTCAGGACTACGCGACTGAATACCGGCCGCTCTGTATGACAATTCTTATAGTAAATTAAGTTGTATAGAACTGTTTAAATTCAATATATTACTTGTTTAATGGTCTTAATATCATAAAAGCTTTTTTCTACAATTTAAAAATGTTTGTTTAGCTTTTTCTAATGGCATCATAGCCGACACACACAACAGTCGTATCCATTACTTGAAAATCTATGACGTGACGCAAAACCTTTCCTATTAAAAAAATAAAGATTAAGGAATATTTGCCATTTTTAAAAAAACGTCCATGTTTTAAGTATATCGAACATAACGTTGCCCAACCAAACCCGTCTTTGTATTTATCGAATCTGGTTCAGCTTGAAGGTTTCCATCATGCTCTGTTCAACCTATTTTACAACAAGGACAATAGATGAAACATATTGTGATGGAGGGTCTGATTTCATATTCTTTTGTTTTTAATATAAAACATATTAATTTGAAAATTGGGATTTGATCACCTCATAACGCAATCTCTACATGTGTAATAAACACCAATCAGCGAAAGGCCAAAGCAAAATGTAATATTTAAGAACAGAAAAAACGTTGTGGACATATTTAAATACATCATTTTGCGACATAGCACATCAACTTGCAGCTAAGATTATGAATTATTTGTCATACATCTATCATACCAAGGCATATGTTGGAGATTACCGAGTTACAGAAGCACTACTCCAAAAACTGATATTAATTACCTGGCGCTCGCTCATCCAACATGCTCAGGCATAATGTTTTAGCGTGTATTGGGCATTTTTCCAACAATTTTATTGAATTTTGAATCAACCCAACTTCAGTCATCAACTTCATTCCGTACATAGCGTATGGATTTCCACATAAGATTATTTTTCCCTTTGTAAAATGATCTGTGAATTTCTTCTTTGCCTGATCACAGGTAAAGTTAGCACTGGAATTAGTTAATTTTATAATCGCATTGTTGGAGACTTTGCTTCCATCAGTGTCAGTTAGATAACTTCTTGGAATTAAAAATGTATGATTTCCCAGCAACACTGACTTTCTCGTTTCAAGAATACTTTCTTGGGATGTTAAAATAATTGAAACATTTCCATTAACAAATGTTCCATACAAGTTATTTAACCTACAAACAATAATTTTAAATATGTACATTAAAATTTCTTAAAATATGTTCAGCACTATTAAAGTGAGATGTATGGAATGTCAAAAAAAAGGTCATTCTATAAAATTGGACACTTTTATAACAACAAATTTTACGAGTGCTTTAGCGAGACAGCTTGACTAGGAGATACCTTAAACCCAACGTACAATTGATATTTCAATCATTATACGCTGTTTTAATATATACAGGCACAAACACATACACCCACATGCATAAGCACGGCCTTACTATATAATCTTATTTGTTGAATAAATTTTCTTCTAAATTATTGATTTTTATCCATTAGAACTAAATGGTGTACGCGAGTATACACTTAAAAATTCCAAGTCTCTAATTATTGTGGCTAACAAGATCGTTGCGATCATACAGATGGACAGACGCACATGGTCTATCTATCGGCTCATCTTGTCGTTTCGGTCAAGAATTTCTCAATTAATTGTTAAGCATTTATAGTCAATCTCAATAACTATGTATTACATGTTCTTTGTTCAAGCAAGCCCTTGTTTGCAAAAAATGAAGGCAAAATTAAACACTTACGCAATTGATGGCAGTATCATCCACCACGTTTTCTTCCTTTTTTTATAAATCCGTATTTTGGCCTTCAGATAGGGAAATGGAGCGCTTAACTTGTATACCGAATACAAACGTGTATTACTATATTAAGAAAACAATTGATTATTATTTTAAAAGTAAATAAGTTACTTGAGAATAGAATAGAACAGAACAGAACAGACACCCAGAACTCTGAAAAGAGATGATATTCCTATAATTTAAATCTTATATCATATATAATTTACAAACAACACATGCACATTCTAACATAAACGCGTACTCTGATTACGACGCACAAAATCTATTGTCAACTTATTCAGTGTATAAAACAACAATATAATAATAAGTAAGAATGAGGTTGTAGGCACAACGATCAGCACAATAATAATTTATACATCTGTCTGTAGAAGAAGCCAATCAATCAATATGAATTATTTGAATGTTTTTCAAATATAACATACTATAAGTCTTATATTTGACAAATTACATGTTATCACTAACCATGCAATGATTAAAAAGTTTTAAGTCCAAAAATTAAAATTTTGCAAGATACTAAATTTGCAAGATAATATACATACTGGCTGTTCAGGCATGAACATACAACATATTTGAGGATTCTAAGCATGCCGTCTACACACTCAACGACTAGCAGGGAGTGCAATAGGAATAGTTCAAATTACAGGTTTAGAATCTAAAATTAGACATACCAACGCTGAGCCTTACATACTCAGCAATAGATAAGCTAGACTTAAGGGATGAAATACGCATGGGTCAGGGTATAAGAACCCTAGCTCAAACAAATAAAGATCATTACATAACTGAACACCACCACAGTCAAGTGTATTCACACTGTCAAAAATTATATATCACAACTCTGTATCCTCTACAGCTTTACAGCTAAAACTAACAAATTCGATTATTGAGTTTCTGTTGATCTCCTTTATCAATGCACAAATTGGTACGCTGAGGAGCTGGCAGGTCCCGTACCGTGAATGAGTATTATGCGGACTGGATGGATCGAATGCAACATTCTTACTAGTTTTGTTATTAATCAAGTTAAATTTTACCAGCCAAGAGAATATTATATTTATTTAAGGGCTAAAATCAAATATCAGCTATTATATTTTTTTTATATAATGACGTGACTCACCGATTATTCTGAGCAGCATTGCTTAAAATGTGTTTCAGTTGCTGATTATAAATAGTGGTGTTGACAAAATATTGCTCGTTTATTTTCCTCTTTCGCGTTGTGCTCTTTATTTCTTGATACAAATTTGTATTGGACAACGTGAATTTACCAGTTGTATTCCAAGAATAACCTATCAAAAAAGTTTTGTAATTTATAATTTATGATTTCTTTTGTAATAGCTATTCTTTTGAATTTGAAGGTCTAAAAATTTGTATATAATCGAATATTACAAGTTTTACATTCCTACGGCCTCAACAAAATAAAGAATTTCTTATTTCCTGTAAACTGACAACACTGGGTTATTTTATAAATAAATACTACTTGTTTTTCTTCTTTACTTTTACCCTGAGCATATGGAGTGGGTACCATTGTTAGTATAACATCTTGCAGAATCAAATACAATACGGAAAGATAGTTGACGATCCATAGTTGAGCATTACGACTACCGACTACCGGTTTCACTTGATTCTAAGAGAATCTAATTGAAAATACATTGAATCAGTTGTAGCTACTCCATAATAATTGTGTTCCGAACACATTCTTTTAACATACGCACATACACACATACATACATACATACCCAGGCACGCAGACATGCCCACATGCTGGATTCCACATCCTCCACCTTCAGCAGCACCCGGGCGTTTGCACTCCCTCCTGCTCGGTCCGGGCTGTTCGGACACTTGTCTAGCACCATCCCTACGGCCCTATTATTCAGCATATCAATGATTAACCCCAGTCGAAGAACTTCTATACAAAGGGCGCCTAAGCAGAGTTCCTGAATCATTACAAAACATTGCAATTGAGTGTCAAAAACTTTCTGGTCAAAAATCTATTATCGACACAACCGGCATATATAAGTAGAAAATTGCGAGGTAGGATGACACATAATACAGCTACACCTCGCGGTAGCTAACAACACGAGATATAGTAAAACATATCAACTCGGTAGCGTGGTTTCGATTAAAGGTTGATTTCCGAGATATCCCACGATCCATCCCGGACTTACTCACCGTATGATCAGAGTACTGCTTTAAGGCCATCGGCTTACAAGGCACAATCTGGCCGTTGCTCAGATGAAATCAGAATGCGTTGACAGCGCGAAACGTAATCTTTCAAAGAACTCCTCATTGATTAATGACTGATGATAATAATGACTGATGATAGATAGCAAGGTGCTCTGGAGCAACCTGTTTCCGAAATACAAGCTAAACACCAAAAGGCATCCATTCAGTGATCCACCGGAAGTTGTGAAGAATTACATCTGGGTGCACTCTCGTCAGCCTTCACACTTGTCCCGCCACTAAATTAAGCAGTACACACACAATCAAACACAGATTCACATAGCCATACACAAATAGCCTAGTAGAGATGATTGCGAAGCATGTGCATTACCCAAGAGGGACGAACAGTACCGTCTGTTTTAAGTACCTTTCACATCTTCTGAAGCGCTAAGCATTAGAAAATATTAGCTGTCACTCTAAATTAAATACGCGGCTGGTGCATTAGCTCTAATAATTATTAGTAGTGGTGGAAACTGTAGTGGACAAATAGCTGATTCACATACTTAGCTACAAAGTCTTAGCAAACTTGCCACGACTTTGCAGCGATCCCCAGCAGACTAATGGATAGCGTTGTACTAGGGGGAGAGAAGTACCAATGATGCTACAAAATATACTAGAATGAGCAAGCGGGTAGAGACAATAGCTTAGATTTCATTTAATCACTTCGGCAAGCTATCGACTGTCGTCATTAACCAGTCTAACCAGTCCTATTGCAGCTAACTGCACAAGAGAAGGCTAAAATGGCACTTGTTTCAGTTGTGGAGAGGTTGGTACTGCCACAAGACTTGCTGCAAACCACCCAAGTAGGACTTTTACACCTGAAAGGGGGTATTCATGCAACAAGCTGTTTTAAGCGTACATTAAACCCGGGCCTGTTGGCGAAATTAAATGGGTAGGATTTTTACAACTAAATCTATGCCTAACCGGCGGTAAAAATCAGCGATATGAATATGCGGAAACCCAATGACTTTGCTTTTAAGTAATACGTTTTTTATACGCACGATAGGACAGCATATATATATTTTTTTTTACCTGGCCCCAATCCTAAATGAATATAAATGAAATAATGCGCGATATAGAGAGATCTTTGAAATGCTTCAGGCAATGCTTATCTCTTTAATTGGCTTGGATACGGGTCAATATACATCATAGAATCTTTCCGCTTCTAGAGGCTAGTGAATACCTTGCGACGCTAATAGTGGCAGTTATCATTATGCAAAACAGTTTATCATCTGAGAGATCAATTATGGATCGGAAGGCTTATCGCCAAGATACCTTAGAACCTGCAGCTTTTTCATTGACTATTCAGTCGCAGTGTAGATCAGGAAATGCTGATGTTATAAATTCTCAATAGCATGCAGCACTGAAAACAATTCAGACACCAACAAGTGCCCATGTATTAGCAGAATAACCAGATTGGTAGAATCAACATGCCCGCGTCTAGGCGAAAAGAAGAGATGCCGGGCGCAAGAAATCAGATGAAGGGGACGCGCAACCAAATGTACTTTCTTTTGCGATTCCACGGAATTCTAATTTTGCGACAGGACATGTAAGCCAAGGTAAGCAAGCTAGTGCAGCAAAAATCTGTGGACAAAACCATAATAGACCCAATATCAGCCAATCGAAGATTATATCATACAAGCTTAAACCTTATTGTTAATAAGACCCAGATCGGATGGAATTCAAAACCGAGCATTGAAAATAGCTCTTTACTTGCACCCCTTCGCTTTGAAAGCAAAAGTTGATAAATATCCAGAGAAGCAGTCTTTCTATTGCCTCCTAGACATAATATTAAGATGCTGAAAAATTAATCTTCCTCAGAGTGCAAGCAGCAATTGCCAACGCCGGTTTTCTTCCTCCAAACCAATTCGGGTTTTGTAAACTCAACAGGTTCTTTGAGGAAGTCTTAGCCATTTATCAGACGAAGATAGCCACGGATTTATTGATAAAAAATTAAATATATTGCATTATGTATAAGAGTGCTATTGGTCAAATTAAGAAAACAAACCTTACACATAAAAACTGAAAGATGTCTGTATGTAATATTCTCAGTTCAAATGACAATATAATCGGGGTCAAGAAACCTTGTATTGCGCATATTCTTGACAATTAACCCAAGTTCTAAAATTTAAGAAGTGTCTCTTTTAAATGTTAAGTATTAAATAGGAAAATTTTTATGATACAGTGGGATGTCAGGTCGAAATTAGCAACTTTGTGTATTTGCCAGAAAGTAATTGAAATTTTGTGGGCATTTTCCATGCCAGAGTCCTACAAATCATCATCATCAAAGTTATTAATTAAATTGCATCTTTGATCTTTTAATTCAATCTAGTATTTTATAAATTTTTTGTATTTTTTTGATTTGGATTGGGCATAGCTAACAGATGTTACCATAACTATAAGACACATGCACAGCACGTAAAATGCGTAGGAACAAGCTGTTCTTAGAGTTTTGCAGAACAATTTTTGTTTAACAGTCTTAAAATCATAAAAGGTTTTTTCTACGAATTGCAACTAATAGCAGAGCCGACAGTCTATGGCGTGGCTAACTAACAGAATACTTTCGGAGACCACAGTGCATGTTAAAAAGCTTTCCTATTAAAAATTTTAAATAAAGATGAAAGAATATTTTATTTTTTAACATGCCTACATTTTATGGGCGGCACTGTACAGTGCGGACCGGAATAATCTATTCATGTCCCACAACTACTCTATGGCATGGTCCGGTCCGGTCTCCGTCCGGTTCGCACAGTTCCTATCTCTGATGTCCTAGTAAATTGGGTTTCATTTCATTGACTATTGTTTTCAATGTTAACACATTGTAATTGGTATTTTTGGATTTCATCGCCAAACTGTACATTTTGATAAACGGCGGTCTTGGATTTGCTCGACTTGTGTTTAATTGACTAAGATATCCTGAAAACGCGAATACAGGGCATAATGGTTCTGCGAAAGTGTAGGTAAGAGGAAGAAGGAGACTCCATAGTGTTTATTTTATTGATTAGGGCGGCGACCCGAGGCGATCTAGACCTTTCCGTTTGTATGTGTGAACGCAACGATACCGGATACCATACGGAACTTATAATATATATTAATAAAAAATATATTTTTTTGTGAAAAATCATCATTTGAATTCTGAATACTTCAAATAATTAAAAAAAAAAGAATTGCAAATATTTTTTAATGTGTATAACATTTTTTAATATTGCTAAATTTCTTATCCGAATTGAGACTATCAAATTGATCTCCGGCCTCAGATATAACCCAGGCAAGACATATCTTTTGTAAATCCACAGCAAATCACAGGCTAGGTGAAATAAGTGGATATATGGTCTGAATTAACCGCAACTATATTCGGTAGTCTAATGTGAACTATGTATGCGACAATGGAGAATTTTCTAGTTCATTTCAGTTTCAATTCGTTGGTAAGTTGAGATGTAATAAGATGCACCAATTGTGAAACAACGGCAGTTTCCGAGATGGAAGACCGTGTAATACTTAACCACACAGACTCGACAGTTGATCAAGCTCTTTACCGTAGCTGATAACATTTGGATCCGCTATGGTTAGATCTGACTTGCTGATATCAAATTCGTTACAATTACACATTCCTACTGACTATATCCTGTCATGTCTAATTCCATGAATCCATAGGTACTGCATATGTAGTGACGTGCAGCACACATAACTGAGAACAAATAGAATTTATATATAACTATGGGAAATACGCTTACACAATACATAATTTAATGAAGATGAGCGAGTTCACTTATATGGAAAGTGCGTCAAAATTAAAAATATTTTTAATTGAATTTATTTTATTTAGTTATTTAACAACAAAGCTCTAGTCGGGGTGCCCGACTAAGAAATACCGTAATCCCAGTTCCATATGCGTTTTTTAATATTTTAATATTTTTAATAACCGACATTGCGACACCAAGATTCGAACCAACATTGCCTATGCAACGTCCAACAACGCCACTTCATAATGAAAAAAACAAAAAAACGTTGCTTCGGCGCCTGCATTTGCAAATTGGCCAAACGTTTTCTTTAATAAATTCTGTTTTACTTAATGGATTTTAATTACATTTTCAGCATTTGATCTACAAATTCGATTCGGAAAAAATGCAAGCCCCTTAATATATCGATCATGTTTTAAATCGATTACAATAAAACGGGAATAGTTATCGATCATTTGAAGCAAACTTGATATGCGTGCGATATACGCGGACCTGCAAAAAATGTCAAGTATATAGCTCTAATAGATGCTGAGATTGACACGTTCACACATACGGTCAGACAGATGGACAGGGCTCAATCGACTCGGCTTGTAGTCCTGATCAAAATTATATATTCTTTATGGCGTCTGCCACTTGTACTCCTGCCTATTACATATATTTTAAGAATACCATTCAGTAAAATTAAGCAATTGTAAAAAGGGACAAGAATGACCGCAACCTTTAAGCCTCCTGATTCAAATACCTACTATAGATAAACGATAGTGAACATGAACTGCCTCTTATAACAATAATGAATATAAGTGAATATATTCAAGCTTTTCCATTACGAATTATAATACAAATAATTAATTACCCATTTATATTTAATTAAATTATATCAATACATACTAAAAATATGATAATCTCAACAAATGCTTACCGTTAAAAATTAATGGCTTGCAAATATTAGTTGAATCTGTGTACTATAATCATTTTTTCAGGTATCCTCATTAAATGAATGGTCAACTGGTATAAATGTCTAACGATCTAAGCAACTTACTTTTGAAAATAGGAGTGGATGTATTATAATTGGCTCACTCCTGCTTACTACTATTATGTAAGGCGACAGTGTTTCAAAGTTTTGACGGTTAGAAGGCTCATAGGTTTTGTCCAGTATAAGAAGGTTATCTTGAGACTTCACATTTATGCTTGGCTTAAAATGAATACTGACGAGCAACTGCGGCTCACAGTTCGATTCTCTACCATCAATTGGACAAATCAGTAGAACAGCCTTTAAATTATTCGTTCGATAATCATTCCCATTGTTATTAGCTAGACCGCACCTCAACCGCAAGTTAATGATAGTACAGATAACGAGAAATATTGTAAATGTTTTGTTCATTATCTTTTTTCTATTTACTTACGACATGAAAATAATATACCGAGTAACAAGTTAAGTTTTTGATTACTTTGTCAAAGCAAACAGATCAACTTTTTTATATATGTTTTATTGTTAATATAATATTGTTCCATCCCATCTGAAGGAGAAACACGATGTATGTCTGTACGGATTGCAAAATGCGGGAAGCATTTTTCAAAGAGAGATCGACCGCGTTATGCGGGAGCAAAACGGTAAAGTAAACTTTGTCTACGTGGACAACGACATAATTTTTTTAATCTCAATTTTTCAAGCAAAGCTACGAGTACATTGATTTCAGATTTGCCAGGTTTGGTGCAGGGGCCGGAGTCAAAAAGGTAAAAGTCATTCAAAAGTTCCCAAAGCCAGGAACACTGTTCGATCTCAGGTCGTTCTTAGGCCTATCCAGTTCCTGAATATATTTAAAGACTAACATTCCGAGACGACTGTCCAAGAAGATTATCATCGATTTTAATGATTTGTAGAAGGAAGCATTGAAAAGGCTACACAATGTGTGATTCGTCATGCTAAGCTACCCTGATTTTAGGAAGCTATTCGACTCAACGATGGATACTTCCGTATAAAGCATTGGGGAGGTGCTGTCACATGAATGGAAACTATTGACTATAGCACTGAGTATTTTGTAACAATATCTGTATGGTACCCATGACATCATTGTTTACACAGACCATCAACCTTTGAGTTCTGCTGTACCGAATATTTAATGTGAATTCGAAAATTACAAGATGGAAGTCTCTTACCGATGAACACAATGAAACCAAGTCATCGACCATACGTTGACGGAAACTTTTAAGAATTTGTGTTGGATACTTGCTAGTGTTGACAGATCGGAATGCATTAGCCAGGTTTCGGTTAACCTCTTCTAAGAAGTTGTTATTTACGAAGTGAATCCAGTGGCGAGCTTTGTCTCCGAAAAATAAGCAGCTTAGTTTTACAGAGAAAGGAAAGGAAAGGAGGAAACACCTTTAAGTTAGCAGCTGTTGAAAGGAGGAAACATACGCATATGCATGCAAAAGAAGGAAACACCTTTAAGTCAGGAGGTTTTGAAGCTAGCAGAAATTTCGGCCACATCCATTTTGCGAATTAGGTTTCCTCTTAAATCTATTCATTTTTCTCTTCCCCGGCACTGTGTGCGTGGTTGTGTTCTACTGTAACTTTTCTCTTTGTTTTGTCTAATCATATCAAAAATATGCAGCTTAGTTTTAACTACAAACCCTTCTCAAAGACAAAAGAGGAACCCTAGACTCCCGAAAGAACAAAGGGACACCAATGAGATGTGCATATCATTGTTTTACGACCGATAAGAATTCTTGATGTGTATCGATACATTTTTATCAAATTTGCAATGCATGCATTCAGAATCTTTTTCTAAAAACCGAGGAAACAAAGACTTCCTTAACCTCCAAGACTATTCCCTCGTTTTTAAACGCACCATCCTACCACATTACTTCCAATGGTTAAGTAAAACGGATTCATACCGATGATTCCTAGATAAGAAGATAGACGACAGTGTCGAGTTAATCTTATATGCTGCCCTAGAATATAATCGTTTCCCACAACTTAGACAGACAGAACAGGGTGTTTAACGTAAGGGCGAAAAATTTTGCAAAAAGAAGACTAGAAGACTAGCAAAAAAAAACTAACCTCTTTTTCCATAATTAAAATATATAGGGAGAGGTATTCGAAATCCGAAATATGTGTATTAATTACAGGAATCTAAACAATAAATCTGAAGTCTCCACGAAGTCGTTTCGTATCGGTAATAATGAAATGGGATGAGATTTCGAAAAAAAAGATGCTTACGTTATCACGAATACACATTTGAAATTATTCTAGCTTTTGTGATTTAGGAGATCGCTGCATTCCAGATCTCTCAGCTCGTCATATTAATCACATTTGTTGACCCTGAGTTCATTGAAAATGGAAATTCGGAGTATAATGGTTTTGCGAATATATATGTATGCATGAATTAAATCGTATTTTTATACCCTGATCACATTGAAAATGAGAAATCATGGGAAATTTTTATTTTTTTGAACTGGGACTGGTATTTCCTAGTCGGACACCCCGGCTAGAGCTTTCTTACTTGTTATTAATAAATTAGGCTCTTTTCAGCAGTTATGGATTAGGAGATACTTCAACCCCGATCGGTCTGTGTTTTAAAATGCCCTAGATTCTATCGTTGCGTACATACGAATAAATTATAAATTAAAATACGAAATAATTACAAATTTAAAAAAGTGCTGTTATTAAATAAATAAATTCTCTTTCGTCTGAACTCAAAGCGCAGCCACCACGCCCAGATAAATACTCATCCCCTCTACCTTGCCTGCCACTATATATCTTGCCACTATATGTTCTGATTAACAATTTAATAATCAATGATTTTAATAATCGATGTATATATAAAATATGAAATAAATATATATTATATTATAAAATGTTTTCATGTAATTAATTATTAAACTTTGTGAATCTTGGTCTGACAACATCAGCGGTATGAATTAAAATTTAAGTGCAATAACGACTTTAATCGATTATTTAGAACAAAGTAGATCTGCATAAGCTATAGAAGGACCCTATGCAAAAAAGTCCCTAGTTCTTATATGTTCCGCGTTCATACAAACGGACGAACAGGCAGACAGTCGAACAATATCAATTCACCTGTGGGTCCTAATCAAACATTTTTGTGATTTGTGGCGCCGGTCGTGTCGCCGTTTGCCTATGACCCATTTTAAGAAAGCTTTTGTACTCTGAATTGCCATTTTGAATGTAATAAATTTGTTATTCATTCTTAAAAAGATCATTACTATTATAAAAAGCATAAAACCAAAAACGATTTCAAATCTGAAAGCTAGTGTCCTGTTTATAGAGCGCACTCAGTCAAAAAACCACACACACAATCAAAGCATAAATCGCAAATATGTCTAATTTACTACTGGTATATTATATATATGTATATATATATATGTATATATATATATGTATTCAAATATATATATATATATATATATATAATATACACCTTTGTAATGCGCAGTCGCTTAAGTTTCATTACTTTCGATTTTTTTTCCGTTTAATGGAAAAATCAATAAAGAAATTGTAGAGAACGCACATAAACATGTGAAGGAATAATTTGTTTAATTCAGTCCTGTTTAATTTTTTTTGCGGCGGTAAGCATGTATTTAGGGCAAGTGATTTTGAAACACACTGATTGTGCACTTTGAATTTTTATCAATCTTTAAGCATTATTGAGCTATACAAACAGTGAGATTGTTTCAACTCAGCAGCTTTTGATTTGATTTACTGGCCTCTGATTTTATTTTGTTATGTAATTGCTGTGGTTTTTAGACTTCATATCCACTTGACAATAACGCAAGCAATACTGACGTTCTTAACAAAGTATACTGCAAAAGTTCATACCACGTGGTACGATGTACGATGTAACTTTGAAAATAATTGTAACTTATTAATGGTGCAATTTTTTTCAATGGCTTGTGAAAACATTGCAATAATAAATTTAAGACATTTATTGTAATGACGTTATTACTTTTGACCTATACTTAAAAAATATTATATTTGGATACATTATTCATAATATTTCGAAGCAACGATAAGATCCATCACAATAAGAATTGTCTGTCTCTCCATTTATATAATTTTATTGAATGAGAAACAAAAGTAGACTTCTATGGTGCAAATACAAGATATAATTCAGCAAAAAATACAATTGTTATGAATATAACATGTGTACGAAAGGTATTCGTTGCAAAAGTTTTCCTTGTTAGTTTTGTCAAATGTTTGCATAGCACTGTGATTGTATATTCGGTATATGAATAGAAATTATTAATATACCTTTAAAAAATTGGCAATTAATTTTTACAATCATTTGGATAATTGAAAGTGGATTGAAAAGTTTAATTGTGTATATAGAAAGTATAAATCAAAACCTTAATTATGAATGTGTGAACCTGTACATATTGTAACAAGGATATATATATTTTTTGTATGAATATTGAATAAACGCACTTAATTTCACATATATAGCTAGGTATAGCTAAAAAATACTATTACTATACTCTAGAACAAACGAACAAAGACGATGGCAGCTGAGTTTAACACGCGTAACACATTTCGAAAATCGGGCGTAAGTAGTCTAGGCAATAATGCTCGTAATGTAATTACTTCTGCGAATCCATCGGGTGGAAGTAGCGCATCGCTTCTTCAAAAACAGTTGTCATTTAAAACACCAATTTGTTCGAATCAATTTGGTAAACCTGATGAAGTTGAAATTATTGACAATTCTAATTTAGACAATTTGGCAGGACAATATAATAAGGTATAGTACAAGCACTTGAACTCGGTGCTACTTTAACATTAAACTCTATTTTTAGAATAATATTATTGGCTGGATATGCTGTGCCCCCTGTATATGGCTGCGCACCTCCGCTGCAGTACACAAAGTGGCTATAACGTCCGCAACTTTATTAGTTACAACTTTATTAGTTGCATCACCAATATTATTTTTAATTAGTACAGCGCCCTCTCCACTTCCTAGAGATTGTTATATGGAGGGTGATGGATGTTCGCCCACAGCTTCATCTACTTCAGAATGTACGGAAGACATTTGTGAAACTGTTTCTTCTAACATTCAAGCAAGACTCAATTGGAACAAAGATCCTTGTTCAGAATTTAAGAAATTTAGTTGTTGGCGCCGAAAGTTCAATAAAAATTACACGAATATAATTGAAATGGGTAATTCACAAAAATCAGTTGATATTCAGATGCAAAGTAAGTTGAACATTTTTTTACTAATGTATTATATTTATAATTGTGCTATATATACTTACACATATTTTTTCAGTGCTTATGGAAAATTCAAGTATAAGTGAAAATTTTAAGAAACTTAAAATCTTATATGAAAGCTGCCTTAAGCTGACAACAAATTCGAGTGCTATACACC